ATTTTTTTGTAACCTGAAAATTTCCCCTTTTTTCTTTTGTTTAAAACCATATCAAATAATTCTATCATACTGTTATTTAATGTTAATTGTGTTGCTATACATAAAATAAAGTATTTTTTTAAAGTTTTACTCTTAGGGATTAGAGAAATGGCTCAGTGGTTAAGATGACTTGCTGTTCTTTCAGAGGACTGGAAGTCTGCTCCCAGTACCCACATCAGGGAGCTCACAACTGCCTGTAACTCCAGCTCCAGGGGATCCAACCCCTTGTTCCATCTTCCACAAGCACCCACAAGACCCACAGGCCATGCGCACATTCATACACACACACACACATACATATAAATGAAAATAAAATTAACCTTTAAAAAATAAAGCTTCCATCTGACTTGTAATATGCATGCCTTAGCGGGTGCATGGCCCCCACAATGCACACTCACGAGTAATTTTTAAATGATTTATTTTATTTTATATATTTGAGTGTTTTTGCTATGTCTAAGTGCATCACCTGCATGTCAGAAGAAGACATTGGATTTCCTGGAACTAGAATTACAGATGGTTGTAAGCCACCATATGGGTGCTGGGAACTAAACCTTGGTCCTCTTCAAGAACAGCAAGTTCTCTTAACCACTGAACCATGTCTTCAGCCCCAAATAGCAATTTTTAAAAGGCATAAAATCAGAAACACCTTAGTATCTGCAGATGACCAATCCACAGGTGCTTGCTTGCAGTCTCAACATTTCAATAATAGCAAAAGTATATTTGACTTGATACCTTTGCATAGAGTTGGATAAATCCCTTTTACAAGCTATTTTATGTTGTTCACCTTTGTTTCATCCAGTTTGGAATTTGTCTACTTATCTACATTTCTGCAAAAGCTGCAGCAAAATGAAATTGTTATTTTTTGTTTGTTTGTTTGTTTGGGGGCCAGAGTCTTGCTATATAGTTCAGTTTGGTCTCAAAGCTTAGATCCTCTTCCCTCATCCTCCTGAGTGCTCGGATCACAGGCATGTGCCACCATATCTGGCCAAATTTAAGGTATTTGAGACCAAGCACACTCTTCCATCTGACAGTATCTAGGAGGGGTCTCCACTGCATAGCAGTTACCACATTTGACAGTCCCTAACAGGATGAAAAGAGATCCTTGTGGCTAATGTATAAAACCTACCCTGGCAATGGTGCCTCTGGAAACTCCATCAGTCCACAGGCTACTCAACTCCTTGACTACTTTTTTCATTGTCTCCTGATGTGATTCCATCCCCTTGGAGCTTCTTTAGAGATTATGAGACAAAGGTCATGTTCTTATCAAAAGACACAATTGCCAGCTCTAGCATCGAGGTGTTCCTTTCCTTTACAGAAGGAACTTCAATGACTTGGCAGCCTAAGGCTTTGCCTAGTTACTTTCATTTTCACCAGTGCAAGCTGTATTAACTATTTTTCCCCATGGCTGTAGTTCCAGGGGATCCAATGCCCACTTCTGGCCTCTGTAGAACTGCACACACAGGTACACTTAAATGCAGACAAAACATTCATTCACATAAAATTAAAATAAACAGTGTTCCCTTTCTCTGTTTCTTTACCGGTGATTCGATGTGACCAGCTGGTCTCCTGCTGCTGCCACCAGGACTGCAAGGATAAAACACCCTGACAAAAGCAGTTTAAAGGAGAAAAGGCTTATTGTGGCTTACAGTTTGAGGGTATGCACTCCATCCTTGCAGTACTGCAGAGGCCAGAAGTGGGCATTGGATCCCCTGGAACTGCAGTTATGGGTGGTTGTTAGCATGTGGGTGATGGGAACCAAAACCAGGCCCTCTGCAGGAGCAGTCAGTGCCACTGAGCCAACTCTCCAGTCCCAAGATTCTTTTTATTTGTTGTAGCTCTGGCTGGCCTGGAACTAGCTATGTAGATCTGCCTGCCTCTGCCTCCTGAGGGCTGGGATTAAAGGTGTGCACCACTATGCCTGGTTCTGAGTCATTCTAAAAAAGGATTTATTTCTGTTACTTTTTAAATTATGTATATATGGGTATGTGCACATGAGTGCAAGCCAGAGCTGGAGCTACATGTGGTTCCCAAGCTGCCCAGTGTAGGTGAAGGGGACCAAACTTAGGTCTTCGGGGATAGCAGTACATGCTCTTAACCACAGGGCCAGCTCTCCAGCTCCATAAGTACTTTTGTAGAGGAGAGGTAATTAGTAAGATTTTAGACATGCGAAATTTGCAACACCCTTTAGGAGGAGTTGGATATGAGTAGGCTCAGGTCTAGGTCTTGGCTACAGATGGAAATGGAGTAGATCGTGTAGACATGGAATTTAAAGTCATTCAACTGGATGAGATGGTCCAGGACATACACTTACATACAGACAGGTCCTCCCAATTGTTAGAGACGAGACTGGAGAAACAGCAGAGTGACTGAGGAAACTGGGGGGGGGGGGGGGGGGGTCGGGGGGGGGGGGGGGGGGGAGGTCCTGGAGCCGGGTGAGGACAGTGTTCTAAAGAGGAGAGTGATGAGCTTCAGAGTGACCAGGACCTCAGATGCTGCTAACAGGACCAGTGAGATGAAGACTGAGAAATACTCATTGACTACACCAATGTGGAGTTCACTATTTATGCTCACAAAGCTCTTTTTGTGGCGTGGAGAAGATAAAAGCCTGGAGAGGATGGGGCTGGAACATTCTCCATGCACACACAGAACTCTTTCAGGGAAGTTTATTTTCTGGATTTCTGTTATACTTGGATCTTCTTGAAAATTATATTTGAAAAACAATGGCAACAACAATAAAAAGAAAATCCTGTCTAACATAGCTACTTTTCAAGATCCTATAGAATTCTGTCCTGTTAAATGTCAGTTGTGGTACATGTGTTTGGATGCAAAATTTTCTACTATGAGTCATGGGGTTTTTTGTGTCTTTTTTTTTTCTTTTTCTTTTTCTTTTTTTTTAAATTTAAAATAAAAAGGCTTGAAAATGAGGCAAATGTTCAAGGAAGGCTTAAGCAATACATAGAAAAGCAGTTGAGAACAGAAGAGATTCTGCCCGTGTAGCACAGTGGGTGGATTTGGGGATTTCTTGGGATCAGAAAAGAAGGTAGAAATTTACCATTTTTTTTTCCTTTTCTTTTGTCAGAAAAGAAATCAGAACCACTGAATTATATTAGAACAGGTTTTTACTTGTTTTCAGCCGTGCTGGGGATCAAACCCAGCGCCTCACACGGGCTAAACCAGTGCTCTACCACTAAGCAACATCCTCAGCTCTTCGTAAATTTCATTTTGAAACAGCATCTTTCTTAACTGCCCAACCTGGCCTTGAACGCGTGATTCTCCCGCCTCAACCTCCTGAGTATCAGGGTTTACAGATGTGCGCCGCCTGGCTCAGCTAACCTAGATTCTTTTCCATCTGTACCACTAGATCTAGTGAGTTATGCCAGTTATCAACTTGTTGCCTCTCGGGCCCAAATTCAGTCTTCACCCTCTGTTCTACAGTCATTGCTTCCTGCTCGGAATACCTCTCCCTGTCAGCAAGTTCAGTGCACATCTTGGTCGGTAGAGGGCGATGCTGAGACACAGAAGGAGACAGGGCTTCTGGAGAGGGAGGCAGATCCCTGTAGCACCAGTCCCAGCCACAGGCACCTTCAGCAGCGCACAGTGGCAGAGCACACAGGTGAGTTTGGTCGCAGTCCTCTGTTCTTGGTACCCAGTCTCTATTCTTACAGTCCTCAGCACTAATGACTACATTAAGCTTTCTCCAAACGTCACTGTGGCAAATTTCCCTGTGGCTGCACACTGGAATCTGATATAATGCTGAAACCTTTCTGGTAATAAAAGTATTACATATCCGATCAGAAGAGCAAGAAAATAAAATATCTGGCCTTTCAGAGGCAGCATACATTAATATTAATGGTAAAGTATTTTTAGTGTATTTGAATTTTTAAATATTTTATATTTCTTTCCTTTTCTCTTTTGAGGTGAAGGATGGAACCTAGGGTTTCATGAACATTAAGCAGGTTCTTTACCTTTGAGCTATACCCCAAGACCTAATTTAACACAGGCAATTGTAAAACAAAAATCGTTCAGAAAGGAGAGAATGAAAAGCAAGAACACTCCACTTCCCAGAGAAGTCAACGCTAACCCATTTTGTAAAATTTGTTCAGAAGTCATTTATCCCCAGCTTTAATGGCGTATATAAATACAAAGCACATAATATTTAAGGTACAAAACCATAGGTGTGAAGTTGAGGTTTAGATATACATAACTGGAAAATTATTATAATCGAGTTAATTAATATACAGAAATCCTTAATATTTCTAGAAACAGCACTTCAAAAACCTTATGGGATTAAATTATATACACCAAGTGGAGTGGGTTTTAAGAAAATTGTAAGGCCATTACAGCACATGTGGAACACTCAAAAGTCTATGGAACAAAAGCAGTTTTCCCTAAACCCAATTTCTTTCTCATTCTGGCAATAGCACTCCAGAGCAAGGCTAGTGATATATACACAAGGGCCTTCAGAGACTAAACAGTTTCTCTAGGAAAAGAGTCACCTGCATCATGTGGTTAAGTTGGCTCTTGTTTCGTCATGTGCAGAACTGATTCAGTCCTTAAATTGGCTATTTGTTACCTAAATCCAAAACTTCTTCCATGCTGTGAATCCAAGTTCCTCTCCTCAGCCCCTCCCTGTTAGGCTTGATAATGGAGGGTTCACCACATGAACTTAATTGAAGGGACAATTTTTAGACAGGAGAAGCATACAAGACTGCCAAGGTGCTGCTCATGAAAACTCTTAAGCTCAGTGATGGACACATGAGCTTCTTAAAAATTATGAGGCTCAGGCTGGAGAGTGGCTCAGTGGTCAAGAGCACTGGCTGTTCTTGCAGAGGACACAGGTTCAATTCCCAGCACCCACATGGTGGCTAACAACCATCCATAACTCCAGTTCCAGGGGATTCCTCTTCTGTCCTCTGTGGGCATTGCATGACATGTATGTGTTTGCATACATGCAGGCAATACACTCATAACCATAGAATAAAAATAAATTTTAAAAATTTTAAAATTATGAGGCTCACAGAGTTTATAAATATTCTCTTTATAGACTAGTTAGTTATGGCTTTGTTTTTTAGTCAGGGTCTTCCTTTATAACCCAGGCTAGTATCAACATCTTGATTCTCTTGCATCTTTCTATTTAAGTGCTGGTATTGTAGGCATGTGTCAGCAAGGTATAATGTTTTTGAAAATCAGATTCAGAACTGTGGACAAAGCTTTCTTGATTCAGTAGCCTTCCAACTCATCATTAATGAATGGCTGGAGAGAACGGCAGTATCCACTGCCAGGTAATAATCAAGCGTTTAGATTGAGGATGTCTTTCTTTCACAGCATTAAGCAGTTTTGTGTCTTCCTCATCCAGGAGCCAACTTAGCATGGTGATTCTGGTGAGGCTGGGCAGTCGCAACACACACTGACTCAGGGCCTTGACGGTGGTGGCCTGAACTTTGATACATTCTGAGAGATGCTTAGAAATGCTCAGCTCTTTCAAATTTGGCAGGTTGCCCAGAGCTTGAAAGAAATTTCTATATCCTTCTTCTGTAATCTTGTGATTCATTGAAAGATCTAAGTTCTCAAGTTTCTGGAAGCCTCCACTGGTTGCAACTGTGGCTGAAAAAAACAAATCAATTGTGAGACCAGAATCCTAAGGACTTCAATGACGGTGACAAGGTTATGGATACCAACCCGACCCCCACCTCCACTGAAAGTAGGAAATGATTAGCACAATATTTTAAAGATAGTTCTTTAAAAGCGGTCAAAGGGCTAATTGGTTGATAGAGAACCACATGACCAAAATCCAAGGGAAAAAAGCATGCCTAAGAAGTCAAATTGCAAGGGACCCAGAAATTATGGAAAGGAGGCCTTCTTTTTCCCAGAGAAGGGGAGGTGGCATTCTTAAAAGCTGTCTTCTCTCTGCGCCCTCCCTCTGCTGTCCAGAAGGCACTCCACACTTAACAAGAACAGGGGCTCTGAGGAAAATAGAGCCAGGTAAGTTCTCAACTAACATGGGTCTGTGACTTCTGAAGTGGGGACCTAGCAGAAGTTTTTGCTTCATTTTCATTGAAAAATCACTTTTCCCTAATTCGGGTAAAGGTTAGATTTTATTTCATCCAGAATCATTGGAGCTTGAGTTTAAAGACAGAGGGCCAAAGAAAATGTCTCAGTTGTGTCCTGAGCAAGTATGTTTGGTGATACTAAAGGGATATTTCTCATTTCCTCGAGTGAAAGACTCTTCTGGAGGCGATAGCTCAGGTCTTCCCCATCCATTGCTTTCTTGCCTTGCTTTGCTTTACTTTCTACAACACATCGTACAGTTAGCTGGGGCTGTGGGGTGTCTAAGTGCTGTCTTCTAGGAGTAAGGGTTAAACAAACTCACACTAGCAAAGAGCAACCTGTCAGCTGTCTCTCAAAAGTATTTCTTGTTCAGTCAACAGATTTACTAGGTTCTCACCATGTGGCAGGCATGCTGGGTTCTGAGAGGGGAAAGTATTTGATCATGAGAGGGAGAGGGTCAGGGATCACTGCTCCCAAATCTGTTTAAGATTCAAGTTCTAAATAGGCTTTAAGCTAGCATGGAGAGCAGGAAGACACAATAGTGATTTGTAATAAATAGAGAGGAGAAAAGTCATTCCATTTTCATAATACTTAAATCTTCCTCTTAAGGAGAGAGAAAAGAAGCTTTTAGGAAAAGGTCATAAATTTCTGTTCTTTTTCTTTTTTCTTTCTTTTTTTGTAGGAGAGGGGGACTACAAGCTCTCATGGAGTCTAGGCTGTCATTGAACTCAGTATGTAGCTGAAGATAACCTTGAACTCTCTTTTTTATCTGTATGTATATGTTCAGGCATATGTATGTTCAGGTGCCTATGCCCAGAGGCCAGAAGAGGGCATCTAGTGAACTCCTCTGTCCCCCTCTCTCTTTACCTTAGAAGGAGGTATCTCTCTGAACCTGGACTTTGGGTGTTCTGGACTAGTCTGGACAGCAATTGTATGTATCCATACCTCAGAGCTGAGGTTATGAGCACTTGAGAGACACTCAGCTTCTTACATGGGTGTTAGAATCCAAACTCTGATCTTCATAGTTGCAAAGCAAGTACTCTTAACTTCTGAACTCTCTCTCCAACTACAACTTTGAACTCTGGATCCTCATACTTCAGCCTGTGGGGTGCTGAAATTCCAGGCTTTTACCACCACCAGGCCTGGCCATTTTACCAGTTTACTAGCATTTATCAAGTAACAAGACAAATTCCAGCCTTTGTAACCCCCAAGAAGCCCACTCCAGTCAGGCCTTTACTTTCCTCCCCAGTGTCTTTCATAGGACCAACTCCTGCCTCTCACCTGTATTTCTAAAGATCTTCAGATAGACCTGGTTCTTCAGCACAAGTGATTGCCCTGCTCAGAATGCCCCAGCCCCCCTCTCCCCAGCGTGTCCCCACCATTCTTACTTCAGGTCGCACCAGAAACCTCACTTCCTCAGAGACCTCCCCGACCTCAAATTAGGTTGAGATCTTCTGTTGTACACAGAAGGAAAGGAGAATTGGGCAGCAGATATTGGCCAAGAATATCCCGAACTGACAAAAAGCCATCAAGACAAGGATTCCATGAGTTCTACAAAACCAAGTGGAGTAACACAGGGAAACCACCCTCTGCACCTCACAGCACAGCTGCAGTTTCAGTCTATTTGGTGACCATAGCAAGTCCCCTGTCTCTAAATGCAGTATCATTGGGGTTAGGGCTTCGACACATGGGCTTTGGGGAGTCAGAATTAAGTCTATGGTGACTTCCACAGAGCAAAGCTGCCAGTTCCAGCTGCTCTGAAGGCTGAGGCAGGAGGATCATGAGTTCTAAGCCAGCCCAGGCTCCCTAGTGCCACCCTGTCCTAGGAAAAACAAAACAAAACAAACCTCAAAAGCTCCCAGAGTGGGGAAAATGACCCCTCACCTTTAAAGACACGATAAAAACTCTGACTCAACAAAACAAATGACAGAAGCCGGAGATGTGAGAGAAAATAAGTCCAAAATAGAATGCCATGTTCACTGAAAAAACATTCCAAAGAGGAAGTAAAGGCCATTTCCAGGTCATTAAAACGGGGAAATTCATGACTAGCTGACCCAGAGGAACAGAAATACTAACCAAGTTCTTCAGGCAGAAGGAAGACGACCCTCCCACCCCCATGACTGGAACTTGGGGTAAGCTCAGGGTAGCAGCAATAGAAGCAATAAAGAAACAGAGAATTTCACTGGGAATAGTGACCCTGGCTCTCACCCCAGCACTCAGAAGGCAGAAGCAAGAAGATTACTGCAAGCTTGTTACCAGCCTAGGCTATAGAGAGAGACCCTCTCTCTATGTAGCCTCAAAAAAAACCCCTAAATTTAAATGGAGTAAATAAATTTAGTGTGTGAATACTAAACACAGAATCATTTAAAACAGTAATCAAGCCCTTTCAGCCTCAGCTGCCACCATGGCATCCATGGTAAAGCTTATGGTGAAAAGGGGCAAAAGAAGAATAGAATCAGGGTTTGAAGTTTGCCCTTGACTGCACCCACCTGTAGAAGATGGAATCATGGAAGCTGCCCAATTCAGCAGCTCCTCTAGAAAAGAATCAGCATGAACTGAAAGGCTGGGAACTTGGTAGAGAGGTTATAACTATCAAAAGGAGCAAGAGTAGGATCACTGTAACTTCTGGGGCGCCTTTTCCAAAACTAATTGAAGAGTAATAATCCACATAATTGGTTATGCATAGTTACAAACCATAAAGGGAGTTATCAATTATGTTACTTTCAGATTAGCACGGATGAAGAAGAGAAGGAAGATGAGGCTTAAAACACATTGACGTGAGCTAGGTGTGGTGGCCAACACCTTTTACCAAGCACTCTGGAAGCAGAGGTAGGTGGATCTCTGTGTAGTCAAGGCCAGCCTGGTCTGCATAGTGATTTCCAAGCCAGCTGGAAGTGCAGGGAGACCCTGTATCAAAAAAACTGACCTTGGATATTTTGTATTAATTCATTAATAAAAGTTAGGACCAATAACAGAAAGAACAGTGATGGAAGGGTTAAATGTATGTAGAAACGAAAATAAATGATGATGATAATGCAAAAGGCTAGAAGGAGGCAAATGTAATTTAAACATTTTCACATTTATTTATTTACTTTGTGTGTGGGGTATGTGTGTATATATCTGTGTATATGTGTGTACACACATATCATGGCATTGGGGGGTGGGGGTCATAAGGAAGTTTTGGAGAGATGGATCACTTCCTTCACCATGTAGATCCTGGGTATGGAACTCAGATCATCAGACTTGGCAGTTAGCACCTTTACCCTAAGCAACCCTTTACACTAAGCAACCTCACCTACCCAGGTTAATGGAATTTAAATATTCTAGAAGCACATATCTGGATGATAAACTTATAAAACTATTCATTTATGTATATATACATATGTATCAATAACATATTACTTAAAGATGCAAATGATACCATCCAAGATAACACTGAAAGTAAGAATATACATGCAATCCAGGTATGGTCTCACACAGCTGTGATGCCCACACTTGGAAGCTGAAGCAGGAGGATGGCCACAAATTCAAGCCCAACTTGAACCACATAGTGAGTTTGAAGCCAACGTGGGCTACAGAGAGGACCTTGCCTAACAATCCCTCCTACAAGAAAAAAAAGATTGTATAATTAATAAGCTAACAAATGTGGTAAGAAAAGAAGAATAGAAAAAAAAACACATCCCATTGGACAAATAAAGAAGAAAAATACCAAAATCACACAGGTCAAAACATGCCTGTAACCTTAGCACCGAGGAGGCTAACGCAGGAAGAACACACACAAAATGATAAATTTAGCTATAATATTAAGCACATTAAATGTAAATAGACTTTTTTAATTACTAGATTGTATTTTTGTTTTTATTTTTAAATTGTGTGTGTATGTATATGTGTCCTAGTTTGTTTCTCCATTGCTGTGACAAAACACTCTGACCAATACCAACTTGGGGAGGAAAAGGTTTATTTAGGCTTACATCTCCCAGGTTACAGTTCATCAGGGAGCCCCACACAGGAACTCAGGACAGGAACCTGGAGGCAGGAGCTGGAGCACAGGCCATGGAGGAACGCTGCTTACTGACTTGCTCCCCTGGCCCCTGCTCAGCCTACTTTCTTATACAACACAGGCCCACTTGCCCAGGGGTGGCACCACCCACAGTGGGCTGGGCCCTCCCACATCACACAACAATCAAGAAGATGCCTCACAGACATAGCCACAGGCCAGCTCAATGGAGGTAATTCTCCAATTGAGGCTCCCTCAACCCAGGTGTGTCAAGTTGACACTAAAGCTATCCAGCACAATGTGTAAGTGCACATGTATGTGTGGGTGCATGTGGAGACCAAAGGTCAATGTTGGATTCTTCATTAGTCACTGTCCATCATTACTCTCACTGAGCCTTGAGTTCACTCAGCTGTCTGGCTCTCAATCCTCAGGGGTTCTCCTGTCTTCAGCTTCCTAGAAGTTATAGGTGTGCACCACTATGCCTAGTTTTATGTAGGGCTGAGAATCAAACCCAGGATTTCTTACATGCTAGGCAAGCACTTTAGCAACTGAGCTACATTGTAAACCCTAGACTGAATTTTTAAAACCCAATTATCTAACTGCAAGAGATACACCTTAAATTGTGGGGCATCAAAAAACTGCAGGTGAAAGGAAGGAAAAGGACATCATAAAGAATAGAATCTGGATGCCTATGTTAATATACAACAGAGTGAGTGTAAGGCAGGAAGTCCTACTACAGATAAAGAGGGCTGATCTACCAGAAAGATCTTACAATTCTAAATTCCCTATGCAACTAGCTTGAAGATATATAAAGCCAAAATAGAGCTATAAGGAAAGTAGGTTAACAGGGATTTATTCACGTATTTATTTTTGTGGTGCTGAAGACTGAACTCAGGCTTCTGAGTGTTAGTGATAGTCTCTGTTCTGATCTGGTTGACTGTTAATTACACTGGAAAAACAAATTTTCAAGAGTATGAGCTGGGAAATTTATTCACTTTGGCTTATATTGTGTTTAGCAGAAAGAATATTTGGCCAGGTGTCTGAAACACTGAGGTCAGAACACAGACCTGAATGGGGTGTTGCTCCATGGCTGAACGCCTGCTTAGAATGCATGAGTGAAGCCTGGGTTCAAAGCCCCAAACCAGATTTGATGGCTTCTATAGTGTCAAAACAGAGGCTTGTTGACCTTTCCAGCCTGACCAGGATGAAGCTAAATCTACACAAAGCAGGAGAGGAAACCACAGGGTAGAGGAAATGAGGAAGTAGGCTGAACAGTTTGGAGGGCCAGATGTTTTCATAGACTTGGAGCAGACAGCTCCAACGATGCCACTGGCTTCTGCACAAACAGAACCGTCTCTCTGAGGAAACTCACCGATTTCCATCACACTGTCATCATCCAAACCGTAGTGAAAGGAGAGAACTCGGAGACTCTGCAGCTGAGGACACTGCCTGACAATCAGCTTGGCCACGTGATGAATCCCGTCCCCACCGGGAAGGCGCAGCTCTTCCAGGTTCCTGAGAGAACCTAGAGTGTGTGCTGTGCAAGACAATAAAGCCATTCTCTGTAGCAGTTCCCATGGGTGAGGAGTTGATGACCTAGAGACTCTGCAGTCTAGGAGGCCCCACCCAGCAGAGGCCTCCTCATCCCTGTCCCCAAGGGCAAGAGAGAGGGGTCAGCACACACCTGCTGCCTGCTGCTCTCTGTGGACAGCTCCTCACCCTCCCTGGCCTGTCTCTCTTCACCCAAGTGCAGGCTGCCTCTCCATCTCCAGTTCCTCCTGCACAGCCAGGCTTCCACTGGCTGCAGCTCACTCTCCTAGCTCCACAATGTCTGTGCTGAACATTTACAGAGGTTTCCCCCTTGTCACTATTCCCTAAACTGTTTACATTTAAGTAGGCATTGTAAGCAATCTAGAGATGGTTTAAAGTGGGCATCATATGCAAACACTGCACCATTTCATATAATGGACTTTAGCATCTTCTACTGTTGGCATCAGCTGGGGGTCCTGGAACCAACCCCCATGGTTGTCAAGGGCAGCACTAAACAGCTTGCTTTGTTGTGAGTTGACTGGGGGAGGGGAAATAATGAATAAATTAAAAACTATTGTCTTGTAAACATACCAAATTTTTCTGATGTTTCCTTATTGGGAAAGTTTTGCCATTCAATATTTAATATCTTCAGAGAAGTATAATTTGGCAACATTGTGACTATGAAAGAGAAAATTAAAATGTAGCCATGTCAGATATATTTCTTAGACCAAAGATAATTTCTTTAAAAGAGCATTAAAACAATGAAAATGAATGTGCTAATTTACAGTGAATTTGTGTGACTATGGAAAGAAAACATCTTGGTTCAGAAAATATTCTGAAAACTAAAACATTTTAAACTATAGACACAAATATTTTTCACTATTGTGAAAAATTCAGTGAAGATCGGGTGTGATTAAAATTTCTTTGACATCAGTTGCATTTTAAAATGTTGGCTTTTTTAGAGTGTGACTTTGCGCACAGGAGTATCTTGAAGCAAAACTGTGAGGTTATAAATCTTACCAAATGGCACAGCAACAAAAAATTGTCCCGAAAATTCAATCTTTTTGAGTTTCTTGCAGGAAGCAAGTACAGTCATGAGAGACTCAAAATCTGAAAATAAGTCACATGTCAGATGGAAAACCTGAAGCTCTGGAGAATTCTGAATCAACTTAACTGCAAAAAAAAAGGGGGGGGCGGATTTTCAGAAATTAGAGAAGTTTGCAAATTTCTACCAAAATTAGCCTTGTAGTTCATTAACTCCAATCATACTGAATTTAAAGTAAGGCACCATGATGCAATGATGGAATGAATGAGGAATTTGGACTCATGTTCAGGTTCTGGAGTGACAAGAGAGCAGCATGGACTTGCACAAGCTACTGACGGGATCAACTAACTCTTCTCAAAATGAGGGCTCAGTAAAGTCATTGTGTTAGATAGCTTTAGTATCAACTTGACACATCTGGGTTGAGGGAACCTCAATTAGGGAATTTCCTCTATTGGACTGGTCTGTGGCCATGTCTGAGGGCATCTTCTTGATTGTTGAGTGATGTGGGAGGGCCCAGGCCACTGTGGGTGGTGCCACTGTGGGTGGTGCCACAGGTGGGCCTGTGTTGCATAAGAAAGCAGGCTGAGCATGGGCCCAGGGAGCAAGCCAGTAAGCAGCATTCTTCCATGGCCTGTGCTCCAGCTCCTGCCTCCAGGTTCCTGCCCTGAGTTCCTACCTTGGGCTCCCTGATGAACTGTGACCTGGGATATGTAAGAAAAATAAACCCTTTCCTCCCCAAGTTGGCATTAGTCAGAGTGTTTTGTCACTGCAATGAAGAAACAAAATAGGACAGAAATCTTCAGTGTTAGCATCCTAAAGTCTCTATGTCTATGCATTTGTGCAATGAGAATTCTATACAGCGTAACATAAAAAGGACAGTTCTGAAGCAGAAAATAAATTAATTTCGTATGTGGGCAGGAGTCATGCACGTGCCAGAGTGAACATGTGGTCAGAGGACAGATGAGGAATCGCTTCTCTCCTTCTACCATATCGATCCCTGGCATCAAAATGCAGGTCATCAGGCTACACAGCAGGTGTTTTTACCTACTGAAAAAAAAATTTTTTGTTTGCTTTTGTTATTTTAGAAAGGCTCTCACACTGTATCTCAGGCTGCCCAGGAAGTAACAACAGATACACAGCCAGCTGGCTTTAAACTCCAGGCAGCTCTCCTCCTTCAGCCTCCCAAGTGCTGAGATTTCAGGCATGAGCCACCATGCCCGCTCAATGACTATTTCCATGAACTCTGCACATTAGCTCCAGGTTTACATTTCCTTAGTCCTTGGTGTTCAGCATTTGCCAAATCAAGGGCCTGCTGATGCTTTAGTCATTTTACTAAATGATGTGTTCTAGAAACACAGCTGCGCAAGTTGTCCATCAGTCATGAGGCTAGGCCGGGGAGAAATGGGGAAATGGTTCAGATTGCCACCATCAGGTTTCTTCTCCCTCAGCAGCTGATCTGTAAATTGCCAAGTTCTCAAGAGCAGCTTAAACAAAAGTGAAAGAAACACGCTCTATGAACTATTTTGGAGAGGAAGGGTATTTGGAGTTTAAAGCTCAGACTGTGGATCTAAACTGTGAATAGACACTTTCTTAACTGGATAAACTTAAGCAAATTTCTAACCTCAATTTCCCTAGCTACCAAATGGCAATACTAATAGTATATATAGTGAGTGTGAAGATGGAGCTAACACTTGTGAGG